TATGTGATAAAGAAACAAATAGGTAAGGGTGCAGCATCAGATGGAGCTGGGCATGTGGGAAAAGGGAGCAGGGCAGAGGGCAGGGAGTGCTGGTGGGAACTGCTATGCTCTACAGGACGTTTAGGGACGGCCTGATGAGGTGACCTGTGAGCGGAGGCGAAGGACGTCCTCTCAGGGGACCTCTTTCTGAGTGCCAAGAACTATGGACTTGAAGAGCCACGGGTATGTTGTATGCTAGGGGGGACCTCTGCTCCCCTTTCTATGGAAAGTTAGCACCTCTTTCTGTGTTTTCATGTGTACCTCTACTGGGAGGCAGAGGAGGGTGAATTGCTGTCACCATAAATCAGATGCCTTCAATAATTACAATTTTAGCCCAGCTGGTGTGGCTCAGTGGTTGAGCATTGATCTACGAACCAGAAGATCATGGTTTGATTCCTGATCAGGGCACATGCCCGGGTTGTGGCCTTGATCCCCAGTGAGGGGTGTGCAGGAGGCAGCCGATCAATGATTCTCTCTCATCATTGATGTTTCTCTCTCTCTCCTTCCCCCTTCCTCTCTGAAATCAATAAAAATATATTTTTTTAAAAAGAAAAAAATTATAATTTTAAATGGTTCAAATACCCCATTAAGGAGATGGACCATAATTTAATGAACCAAACCTCTACCGTTGGCTGCTTACATTATTTTCAGCCTATCCTTATTTTACTTCTATATTTTCAGCTGGAATTTAAACTATGATTAGTAGCCAGGTATTTAAGGAGAGCAGTTTGGGACTACAGATCGAGGGCTGTGGAAACCTGCATTCAGGGTCAGGGACAGAGGAGCGGAGACCCACATGGCAGCGGCAGGAAGTGGGAGAGAGCAGCGGTGCTGGGGGCGGGGGGAGCAGACGGGGAGGGGACAGGAGCAGAGGCCTTTGGGAGGTGCCTCCCTCCTCTGCTTCCTCCGCTGCTGGCCAGGAAACCTCTTCTCCCCTGACCTCTGTATTCTCCCGGCTGCAACCAATGGCCGGCGTATTGATCTGCGTCTACCCGTGAGTTAAAAAGAACATTAGCAAAATATAACAGAGAAACAGGTCAAGTGTTCAGTTAAACTCAGTAACGGGGCTCCTTTCATTAAGCAGATATTCAGGAAACTGCCTGCGAAAAACAAGAAGCAGATGGCACTGACTTCTGGCTTTCCTCCACAGACACAGAATAGGAAAAATAAGTTCCAATGCCCGAGACAGGAGCTATGCTGAGGTGTCCAGCATCCAGACAGGCAAATGCCTGGGCAGCTGCAGAAGGCAGATGGGTCCTTTGACAGCCGAATATCACAGTTTCTGGTGACTCCCTCGTTAGGGCAGCCAGTGTCAGCCCATCTGGTTGCTAATGGGCAGGAAAGCTCATTACCAGCAGGTAGTCACTGCTGGGATGCGATACAAAAGTCAAGCCAGCCATTTCACAACCTCTGCAAAGCACACTGGCCCGGCAAACCGCTGGCACGACCACCCCGGGAAGGAAACCCGCTCGGCTCCGCGTGCCGTGTACAATGGGACCATACAGAAGAGTGATATTCCAGGAGGCTTTACTTGGCTTTATATCAAGGTATTCGAACGCCATGCGACGGATCATTCAGTTAGAAAGCGCTTTTGTTCTCTGCTGCTTTTCTAAACAGGAAAGGAAAATAACCATGACTTTAAAGCCATCAATAATACGCTGCAAAATTAGCTGCCATTCGTTTATTATTAAAATGAAAAAAAATTCCGATAAGTAACATATATTTACTGCAAAACACTTACAGTGAAAATAAATCTCCCTCTTACCTCTTTGTCCCAGCACCCCATCTCCCCAATCCCTCTTCAGAGACAAACATTGTTACCCATTTCATGCATATTTTTCCAGAAATAGTGTATAATATACACAATCATATGTGTGTCCCAAAATATGTATACACACTTTTAATAATTATAAAGGCAGTGTTTATTAAAATACATTTCATTTTCAAAATGTAATAGAATCAGTTGTTAAAGTGTATATATATATATTTTTGGCACTATATATACTCACTCTGTGTGTGTGTGTGTGTGTGTGTGTGTGTGTATACGTAGACACACAAGTACATACCCTTATTGTTATATTTAAAACAAACAGAGGCATATCAAAGGCTCTGAGAATTACTGCAGTAAAGAAACCTATTTAACTTCATTAACATATCCTAAATGTGTTTACTTATAAGGAGTATTAAATTTTATCAAGTAGTATTTTTGGGGTTTTTTGAGAACTATTATAAATGAATAGATTAATACACCTTTCTAATGGATAGCCACCCTAATATTCTTAGAGTACAGCCTCACTGGTCGTGATACATTTTTCTTTTAAAAAACTCTTAGATCTGATTTTTGGGCATTTTATTTAGGATTAAAAAAAAATCTCTGCACTGACATGAGATTGGACTACAATTTTCTTTTCTTGTATTATCTTTACCTGTTTTGGATATAGTGTTGTGCTGGTCTAAACTCGTTTCCGAACTTCTTACTTATATCTCTCTGAAACTTGGCAGAAATTTCGCTCATAGACTTTATGTCCCAATCCTTGTCCTTTATAATTTTTCAAGACAATGACCCCTTTTCACATCTAGTCTATCAATAGCATGTTTTATTTTGAGCCCTTTCCTCATAACTTCTAACTAGAGAAGTTCTCGGAATGTACTTTAAGGAAATTATCTGAAAGATAAAGGATTGATCTGAAATTAAATCCATCTCTCCTTTGGATTTCCATAATTAACCCACAGATAAATATGATTCTGTGCCACCTCCTTATGCTTGTAAAACACAATCTGTTTCTCGAAGTCAAACCAATGACATGATAGTTGACAATAAAGGAAAGTAGAAAAAAAATTAACCTTTCCTTAAGAAGAAGTCAATAGCAAGTTGATGACTCTAACTCTCAGTCAAAATGCCAAGCCTGAATTTTCTGGGGGCAGGAAGGAGGGTTTTGATCTCTTATTGGTATTTGACCTCTTAATTCATAGGTCAAAAATCTATTTATATAAAAGGCTAATATGCAAAGTGTCCCCTCAGGAGTTCGATCACTCACTATGACCACCAGGGGGCGGCGTGGAACATGGTGGGCAACCAATGGCGGTGGCGGGGCCTGAGGGAGCGAGGGAAGGAAGAGGCAGGGAGGCGGGAAACCTGATCGGCCTTGATTGCCAGCCAGGCCTAGAGAACCTACCCGTGCACAAAACTATAAAAAAAAAAAAAAATCAAACAACTCAACAACCTTTTCTTTCTTCCATTTATAACTTTTAAAGACACTCAAAAATCTTACATATACAGGGTGGGGCAAAAGTAGGTTAACAGTAATGAGTACAGAGTTTATTCTTGCATTATTTATTTATTATTATTGTATTATTTTCTAAATGAACAACTGTTAACCTGCTTTTGTCCCCCCACCCCCAACCGTATTAAAGATTTGAGGGAATGCAACTAGAGATACATTTGAGAATTCATATGCTGGGGAAAGGAAGCAATGATGGATTCAAGGACCAGATTCACATGAAAACATGTAGAGGCATGTACCAGGGGTTGGAATTTGCTAAACAAGATCCAGATTGAGCAAAAATACTTCAATTCCCCAGCAAAAACTACTTATTAGTACAGGCATCCAAATTAAAATCCCTTTAATTGTCCATCTTTTGCCATAACGAAATATTAGGAGGAAAATGAGCCTGCTTATTTGAGTTATAAATTTTATTGTAGAGATGCCTTCTCCATCCTAAACTCTTCAGTATTCCCCTTAGCTTTATGACTATTTGGTAGATGAAAGGGAGTTTTTCAAAGGTCCATATGTTTATTATTATTTTTTGATATTTCCTTATTTAGATTATTTTCCCCCCAGATAATCATTGAATGTTATTTTAGTCATAGCATTAAGAAGCATTTAACTGTATAAGATACTTAAAGGTCTACTTTGATCTCGAATACAAGCTTTAATGACATAAAAGAAATGGTCTTTGCAGCCCACTTCTAAAATTATACTCCATACATTTACCAATGAAAGTTAATACAGCAGAATTAGACGTGTGGACATCGGATTGTAAATATGCCTTTGTTTAGACAAAGAAGTTATGTCTAAATGGAAGAATGAACAATCCTCATAAGGAATACTCGGTTCCTTCTGACAACTCAGGAAACGTCTTTTAGGAGGAAAAGGAACGGGACATTGGGCTCATGTCTCAGTTGCCGAGCTTTGAGGAACGGCCTCCCAGCATCAGTGTGGTGGGAAGGTAGAGACAGTTGCCACCGTGGGAAGAACACCTGACTTTGGAGTTAGCGAAGCACCCACCCTAAATACCCCATGGCTTCCTCTGGGAAGAAAAACGCCTCTAAAACAACTCCAATAAAGAACCAGACAACACCACTCCCTGATTAAAATGGCCACTTCACTGGTCCCCATCACCCTCAGGATCAACTCCCTGTTTATATTTCTCACGTCATTGTCACAACACACACACACACACACACACACCCAGATACATCGACGATTTACTATGAAGTTCTCAGAAGATGCCATGTCCCATCACAACGCCACATTCCTGACGAGGTTACTGCCTCTCTCAGGGATTCCTTCAGTTGTCATGGACCTACATGTCCCTCTAAACCTACCTTCTACTTGGTTTATACTCACAGTAGACACATTTGGGATAAGCGAGAAGCTGCGACAAAAAGTCATTTTTCTATCTTTTTTGATTTAATTACATTTGGATTGGCAGTGACGAAATCACCGTTAGGGAACCCTCTTGTTGGTAGAGCCGGAGGATGGAAAAGTAAAGGTCATTCCTAGTCTTGAAACTGAGCCCGGATGCTCATTTTGCCTTCTGGGAAACAGGTGATTTAAGTGGTCTTTATGAAGGAAAAGAGCTCAGTACACTAAAATTGGCACACGAGTTCAGTGAGAATCATGATTAAAGAGTTCACATATTTGAAACTTGTCGTAGTAACAGAAATCAAACGTTACCTCTTGAAATGATTCACCAGGACTCCAACAAGTTCTCCGATTCGGTTCTCGTGGGTCGGCTGTTTGCTGAAGAGGCAGACGATGAGGTCCTTGTTGTCTTTCGTATGGAACACCACAAGCTGGTCCTTTCCATTGGAGACGCTCAGGCCCGTCAACTGCGAAGAGACAAATATGGAAAACGATTAGGTTGGTTCTCAAAGGAACACATTTAAAAATACATCTTGTAATTTAATAATATATTTTTTGGTCAGCATCCCGGATGACTTTAATTTTTGTCAAGTTTCATGGAACAAGCAGATGGAAGGCAATAATAAAGAATGAAAGTTAATAAAATTGAAAACAGAAAAATAATCGAAAAAAAATCAATGAAACAAAGAGCTGATCCTTTCAAAAGATCAATAAAATTGCTAAACCTCTAGTCTGAAAGAATAAAAGGAAGAAGATCTAATTACCAATATGTGGAATGAAAGAGGGGATGAATATAACTACAGACCACCCAAACCAAGTAATTCTTTGAAAGCTACAAGCTACCAAGACTCACCCCAAAAGAAATAGATAACCTGAATACTGCTATATCTATTAAAGGAGTTAAATTTATAGTTAAAGATCTTTTGAAAAAGAAAATTCCAGGTTCAGATGTTCCCACTGGTGAATTCAACCAAATGTTTAAAAAAGAAATAACACCGATTCTCCATGTCTCTTTTTAAAAACAGGAGGGGAGGGAATGCTTCCTAATTCATCTATGAGGCCTGCACTATCCTGGTTCCAAACACAGACAAAGGCAGTAACAAGAAAACCACAAACCAATATCCGATATCCTTCATGAACATGGAGGTAAGAATGGCCAATAAAATATTAGCAAATCGAATCCAATAATGCACAGAAACAATAACCCCTGACCATGTGGCGTTGATCTAAGAAATGCAAAGCTAGTGCAGTATTTAAAAATCACTCAATGTAATCCACCATAGCAATGGGATAAAAAAGAAAGCTACAGGGTCCTATCAATCGATGCATAAAAAGCACGTTACAAGTCAACATCCATTCATGATAAAAATCTCGCAGCAAACCGGATTAGAAGAAGACTTAGACCAGTGGTCGGCAAACCGGCTCGAGAGCCACATGCGGCTCTTTGGCCCCTTGAGTGTGGCTCTCCGACAAAATACCGACTTCTGTGCATGGGCCACGAAGTTTCAATCGCACTGTACGTGCGTGCCCGCATGTGGTATTTTGTGGAAGAGCCACACTCAAGGGGCCAAAGAGACGCATGTGGCTCTTGAGCCGCAGTTTGCCAACCACTGACTTAGACTGATCAATGACATCTACAAAAATACCACCGCTAATATCATACTAGCCATCAGGAAACTGTAGATTATAACTACCATGTGATATAATCACAACCTAGCAGAATGGCACAAGTGAAAACAAAACAAATATGAAATAGCAACAACAAAAAGGTGACACCACCAAGTGCTGGCGAGGACGCAGGACCATGGGAATTCTCACACAGTGTTGGTGGAAAATTAAAATGGCACAGTCTCTGGGAAACCAGTTTAGCAGTTACTCAAAAAGTTAAGCATAGAATTACCATGTGACCCAGCAATCCCACTCCTAGGCATTTATTCTAAAGAAATAAAACCTTATGTTCACACAAAAGCTTATCCATGAATGTTAATAGCAACTCTATTCATAATCCTCCAAACTGGAAACAATTGAAATATCCATCAATAGGTGAATGGATAAACATCTTTGTTTGATGTTTATTGATATATCTTTACAATGCTCATTGATTCATCTATGCATTGGAATGCTATTCAGCAGTAACAAGGAATGAACTAATGATATACATGATTGATATCAATAACATGGATGTTTCAAAGGCATTTTGCTGAGCCAAGCAGTCAGTCTCATAAAGTTACTGCAGGACTCTGCTTAAGTGATGGTGTCTGGAAGACAGAACTCTAAGGGTGGAAAACAGATTAGTGGTTGTCATGGTGTGGGATCGGGGGAGTCAGATACACGGGTTTTGGGGGTGATGGATGACTCTGCATCCTGACTGTGGTGGCTGTTACACAAATCTATGCATGTGTCAAGACCCATAAACCTGTATACTGTCACTACTACCAAAAGCCAACCTTACTTATTACGTGTAAGTATAAAAAACATAGATCCCTGATTGTTTGACTCCTAGATATTCTATTTTGGTCAGCAAAGCAAAAACCAGAGTGATTTCTCATTCTGTGGTTTGTTCTTCAATTGCAGAAAATACCAAAGTGCCACCTCCTGGCCGCCACAGGTGCTGTCAGCTTTGTTTGGCAATCAGCACTGTCAGGGTACCCACTGGGGGCAATGCAGAGGGCCAGGCTGCCGGGGAAGGAGGAGGCGGGGGGGCCTTAAGAGGCTGAAGGTATAGCCCCTGATCTAGGGGGATTCATAACTCAGTGGAAAAGACGAATATCAAACAACGTTAACAGTTCACACATTTGGAAGGCCACTGAGTTCCAAGCCCACACTTTACAGATAAGGAAACTGAGGCGCAATGAGGTTAGTTGATAAGCTGTATAAGTAAGTATTCCTAAACACCAAGTGAATACATTTTCATAGGAGGTGAGCTTTTTGATTGTTTTTAAAGAATGCCAGGGTTAGTGCTTAATGGAAAGAAGAGAAAATATTCAAGGAGTTAGAAGTCAGTGCACAAATCTATGTAGATCCTGGGCTTTCTGAGGCCACTGGCAAGAGAATAAATCAATCTTTCTGCCACTTAGATGTATCCCATCCAGCTGATTTTTAGGCGATTAAATTAAAAGTATAATTTCCATTTTAAAAAACATTTTATGTCGGTGGTGCTTCACTCTCATTTGATTATCTCATACACAAAATTCAAAATTGAATTTATGTGGCACTTCGCTGGAGAGCTTGATTAAAATTTAATAAAATGAGAATTCTAACAGCAGTAGCCCTGCCAGCATGTCCCAGGAGCATCAGCTGCAGGGGTTCAAGGACAGTCAGCAGTGAACGCCCAGGGCATCCAGAGAGAGGTGCTGTCTGGGCCAGCGGGGAGGAGCTGCTGACTCTTATCCCAGCCACCCTCCCACCTCGGAGTGTGGACTTCCCTATGCCAGCCTGTCTGGGTGGCTTTATACCGCTGTCCATGGGAATTCTTCATGTGTTGGCTCAGGCCAGAGGAAAAAACAGCACCTCCTATCTCCTGTTACAACAAATAAAGATGAAGCCCCTGCCATCGCCAAGGCAGGACAAACAGCATCTACAATGTCTCCTTTTGTTCTGGGAGACAGGATGGAAAGTGGGGAAAAGCAGTGGAGTAAGGGATGACCTGGATTAAAAAAAATGTTTTTATTGGTTTCAGAGAGAGGAAGGGAGAGGGAGAGAGACACAGAAACATCAAAGATGAGAATCATTGATTGGCTGCCTCCACACCCCTCACCGGGGATCGAGCCTGCCACCTGGGCATGGTCCCTGACTGGGAATTGAACCCTGACCTCTTGGTTCATAGGTAAATGCTCAACCACTGAGCCACACCAGCTGGGCATAACCTGGATGTTAACCCCAATTCAGCCAGGTGATCCTGAGTCATTTAACTTCCTGGGCACCTCTCTCCTTTTCTGCAAAACAAAGATCACACCAGATGCCTGGTCTACCTTAGAAAAGTGTGGTGAGGATCAAAAAGCAGCAACTCAGGGTATAAAAAGGTAAATAAGCAAAACCCCTCTGCTTTACGGGTTTTCACACTCAAATCAAAAAGAGGAGGGGATAGCAGTATCTGAAAACTTCATGCTTGCACCATGGGAAGGAAAGGTATTGTGCGGAAATACACTGGTTAGGGAAGGGGTCACTTCCTCAGTTATCTCTGAGCAGCCACAACACGCAAATATTTCTCTGAACAGAAGTGAAACTCCTTATCAAGGCTTTTACCAATTAATCGCCTTATTTCTCATCATCTGTGGGCTCTCAATGCTATGATAAATCCAAGACTACTTCCTCTTTGGCATTGAAGCTTTGGGACTCTCTGAGGATAACCTTGACCTCAGTTCTCAGAGCCTCCTCATTCAGGAGGACCTATCAGTGAGCACAACTGGGCCGTTCGGAAGCAAGGGGCCACGCTAGGATTCGGCAGATGCCCTCCTTTGCCATGGAGTAAGTGCAAGAAAGCAGAGAGAACCAGAAAAGAATCCTGACTTTGCATTCTCATCTATGAAACAAGGGTGAAACAGACCAATATAAGGAGGTGAAGTAATTCTGAAACATAAATATGACAAATTGACAATACAATGGAAGCAGTAAGGGACAGAATAGATACTGCAGAAAATCAAAGAAGAGTTGAATGAAATTTCTCAATGTCAAAGATTTGAGTCTTTAGATAGGAGCCACAGGTACCAGCCCAACTTAATTAACAGAGAATCACATGGAGATGTAGCCCAGAGGAAGTTTTGAGTTTCTAGAATACAGGGAGAGAAATCTTCAAGTTTCTAGGCATAGAAAGTAAGTTATCTACACAGGAAAATAACATTCAGGTTTAAATACTTTTTAAAAAAGTTGCTCCTTCTCTTTGAAAATGTAGGAAGAAGAGAGGAAAAAAACATTAATTTTGTCATTATTCATAGAAGGATGTAAGTAAATCTGATCTATTCTTGGTATTGATTAAGAGAGATCAGTTTAAACATTTAATAGTAACCATTATTAGAATTAAAAAGAATGTATAAGTTTATAATATTTAGTAAAAAGCAAATAAATAAAATGTGACCGCCCGGTCTGTGTGGCTCAGTGGTTGAGTGTGGACCATGCATCAAGAGGTCACCGGTTCAACTCCCATTCAGGGCACATGCTCAGGTTGCAGGCTCTATCCCCAGTAGGGAGCATGCAGGAGGCAGCCAATCAATGTTTTTCTCTCATTGATGTTTCTATCTGTCTTTCCCTTTCCCTTCCTCTCTCTCTCAAATCAATAAAAGCATATTTTAAAAAACTTGATCAACATTGCAACTCGAAAAAAGAAATAGCAAGGAATAATTAAAAAGCATTTACATAACATTATTAAATTGAAGAAAAAAATCATCAGTTTCTGTAAGAAGTGCAAAAGGGATACAATTGCTTTATTGGATAAAGAAGGTTCACAGATTAGGCCAAAAGCAAAATTTAA